TAAACTCTACCTACCCCTATGTCTTTAAAGATTTCTACCTACATTTTCCTTCAGAAGATTTAGTGCTTCTATTTTAATATTTAAATCTTTGATCCATTATGACTGTAGCTTTGTGTATAGTGAGAAAGTATGGGCCTAGGAAAGCCAGTTTTTCCAACACCATTAATTAAAGAGGCTATCTTTGTTCTAGTGAGCATGTTTGACACCTCTATCAAAGATACAGTGGCTAAATGTGTTTGTAGTTGTATCTTCATCTTCTGATCTGTTCCATTGATCCTCAGGCCTGTCTCTATGCCAGTACCATGCTGATTTCATCACAGCAGCTTTATAGTATAATTGCAGGCCAGGGATTGTGAATTTAACAGTTTAAAACTAACATTTATTATCACATTTTCTGTGAGGCACAACTCTACATATAAGCAGCTAGATGGTTTTGGTTCAGTTTCTCACAAGGAAGATCTCAATCCAGTGATTAGCTGAGTTTAAACTTCCAACCCCACTGGTTTGGCTGCTGTCAGTGAGGAAGCTTCCCTGCTTTTCTATGTTAGCCTGCCCGTCGTGCTCCTCACAGTTACATATTCCTCAAGTGGGTAAGGAGGAAGATGGAAGGACAGGAGAGTAAAGGGAGGAGAAGAGAATCACGAGAAAGCACTGAGGGACAGAATATGGATTCCTGAGCGTACTAGTATTCTTCAGTATCCATGTCGTGAATCTCAGTCACTTTATCTAGTTTCTAAAAGTAGCATATACTTCCACAGTGTAGTGTGGGTCACAGACCACTCAGCATAGATAACAGCAGGGAAGGGACAGCACACCCGTCTCATACCTGGAGCACAGCAATCATTAAAAGACCTTCTTGAAGCTGGCTGTCACACTAATTAAACATTGTAAATAATTCAGCATGGAAAAAGAGACAGTTGGCAGAAATAAGTAACTCTGTCTTTTGGGGGGCAGAGGCCCATTTCCATGTGGCAACATTTTTTCCTTCTTAGACAAGTAGCAGTTTCCATGGGCATTACTTCCTAAATACCCACTTGCACAAATATACAGGCAACAAAATATGTGGATACTATTAAGTTCCTTACATAAAATGGTAAGTATGTACTGATTATCACATGCTTCCTTCATGCTGCTTGTCCAGCCTTGTAAAATTTAAAAGTTTTTACATCATTTTATAACTTAATCTTTTTATAACCTGAATTTTGTGATCTATCGTTTTCATTTGCTTTTATTGTAGTTGTAATTTTACAAGTGATCTATGAGGCTTGCTAATCAGCAACTGAGCAGCATTGTAATTGTCTTTCTTCTCGTATGTGGACTTAAGTCCAAAATATAGCACAAAAGGGACCAGCTATAAGTAGGTAAATAACACAGAGCTTAACTTACCTTTATACTTGGTCTTGAACTGTAACTGTAGCCATAAAATGGTTAATAAGATTTAATCATGTCTGTTCTTTTTCTGGCAAAGTCAACCATTTTTAACTAATAAAATGATACGATTAGTCAGAAATGACAGGACAATTAACCAAAATACCTAAAAGTAGAGCCATGATTTCCTTTAAGCACATAATGCAAAGCAAGATTTAGTTGAAAAAAGATGGAAAAGAATATTCATACAAGCCTTTGAAGATCCTTGAGGGTAGTAACTAAACAATAGTGTATGATGTCTGATCAAAAATGTTTAATTTTTGAAATTTCACCTTGCCATTAATCCCCTCTAGATTATTCTCCCTTACCTCAAATCCACTTATCCCATAGTTCTTCACGCTTTCTGAGGCTTCTTTCTGAAGTCATCTTCTGAGAATGTCTTTAGGAGATGTGATCAAAAATACTGTGAGTGTTGTGCCAAGTGCCATTGCAGTGACTAGTCAGACTCATAGGCAGTACGATGTGTCCTCATCCACCATATGCTTCTGGCACCATGCTGCTTCTGGCTCTTGCTCAAGGTAAAGATAACCATGAAAGGTAAACATTTTGATTGATTTAAGACACTAAGGCAGCCTGGGCCGGGGAGATGGCTCAGTGGAATAAGTGCTTCCCTAGCAAGCGCAAGGGTCTGAGTTCAGTCCCCGGTTCCACCAAAAAAAAAAAAAAAAAAAGACATTAAGGCAGCCAGAGAGACACTCACAAAAAAAGATTTCTAGGACTGTTTCTTGAAGTTACAAGAACAATGTGACACATTTGTTCAAAATAAATAGTGTTTTGAGGGGGGTTAATGGCAACATATCTTTTATGATAAGTTTTTACATTTACAGGTCATATTTTTGTCATACTTCGTATATTGGAGTTTCTCTGTACAACATAGAAACAATGTTTCTCTTTAGTTAGAGTGTTTAATGATATTTATTCTGAGCTTCATAAAATCTCACAGTGACTTAAACAGGTTATGATTTTTTTATACCCTGTTATCAGTGTAGTTAATGTTTATCTGCCATTTCATAATTTAAATAAAATATAACTACTTAGTGTGCAGTTTTTGCTTCTCTTATTGTTTCCTCTATAACCTGTGATAGTAGCCAACATTTACTGAAGTGTTAATATCCCAAGTAAAAAATTCAGTGTTTTAAACTGTAGTCCTATATAATTCTTATCCATAAGCAAGCCTTACTAAAATTTTTCAAGCTATTTTTATGTTAATAAATGAAGAGACTAGAACATGAAGAAGATATGTATGTAAATTATCTAAGTTTGTAAAGGTGGCTAACATTCCAACCAGGTCTTTTAGCCCAGTGCTGGGGAAAAAAAAAAAAAAGGTGTTCTTCCCAACTGGGTTCTAAACAAAGAATAAAAGTAAAAGCTAAAAGATTACTTTTCTTATAATCCTATAGTCCCTTCTCTCTTTATGAAGAGCGAAACTTGTCTTGACAGTGGTTATATAATTTTTTAATGCAATAGCTACAGCGTATCTGCTTGTATTTATTTACACTTACACAGGGCCATCATAGACTTTCTGCTGGTTAGGTCACACTTTGCTACCAAGTGTAGAGGTAGTGGTGCTGGGGGTAGTTTTGTGTTTTTCTTCTTAAATGGTACATTTTCAGTTCTTGCTTTTAGAGTCATGGCTGTGTAACAATAGATGCTAGTTAGACTTCCCTTCAGATCATTTAAACAAGTACTGTAGTCACACTTATACTGAGACACAAAACTATGGAGAGTTAGCTCTTTAGCCTCTTACAGCCCTATATGAGGCAAGGCTGTTTGTTAGTGCTGATCTGCCTCAGTAGGTGTGTAGTTATTTAAGGTGCAGAGAACTAGCATCTCTAGAAGCAGACCTAATGCTGTGGAGAAGAAACGGAAGCCTGATCAAGTATATGTAGTTATCCTTCACAGTTTATCAATAACTCTACCTCCGAAGGCTAGAGTAAATGAAGGGATTAGAGCGAGGCAGAAACATGCATAAAAAGCCACAACACCCCAAGCAAAACTGTGTATCATAACTATATGCCACATTAATAAATGATCTGTCACCTCATACGTTATACAAGAAAATCATTCCGTTTTTCTTACCTATTCTACAAATTTGAGGTACAAATATATATAATGCCCAACTTTATTGTAGTTGTGGCTGATCAACATTTTGGGAGGATTAAGGATTAAGACTCTCAGTAATAATAATGCCATTTCCTAGGAAAATATTATGACATTCATGCTGAAATATTTATTAGTGGAATCTAATTGTATAGCTTACTTTCAATGGCTCTACAAATTAATAAATATACAAAGGGTCGGCTAGATAGCTCAGTGGACTAAAGCGCCTGCTTCAGCGGAGCACAGTGACTGGGGCTCAATCTTCAGTGTACCATGCTGGCCCTGCCCCCAGGGCCCCCTGAGTCGATGATTGAGGCTAGGTGTGGTGGTGTGCACCTGTAATCCCAGTGCTTGGGAGGCTGAAAACAGGAGAATCACTATGATTTCCATCTACGTAGTAAGACCCTATATACCCTGTAGACCCTATCCTAAATTCATTAAAAAAAAATTTAATTAATATACAAAGAATAAATGTGGCAGAATATTAATAATTCTTAAGTCTTCATGGAGATAATTTCATTGTGCTATAGAACTTTTATGCACAAAATTTTTCTGTTTAAAAAACAGAAAATGGGGGCCAGGAAGATGGCTCAGTGGAATAAGCGCTTCCCTGGAAAGCACAAAGGCCTGAGTTCAATCCCCGGTTCCACAAAAAAAAAAACAAACAGAAAATAAAAACGTTTGATGATACTCAAGATATATATGAAAAGTATATTTAACATGATTAAAGGTCTTAATTCTTAACTTGATACCAAGTTCTAACAGTTGAGATGTTTTTCTAGTCAGTATATATACTTAGTATATTGAGTTAAAAATTGTGTGGAGGGCTAAGGTTGTCACTCAGTGGTAAAGTGTTTGCCTGGCATGCACAAGGCCCTGGGTTCAATTCCCAGAACTGGAAAAAACAGAGCCTTGATTATATAGAATATCTTCACATGCTGAATGGTTTAATATTTAGTAGAATAACTTTGAATGAATATTAAAACTCTGAAAATAAGTTATTTTGTTTCTCTGAATTTATTTTTAATCTGTAGTTCATTTTGGTACTGAGACTGTTAGCGAGAAATGAGTAGATAAACTGGGCATAGTAGTACATGCCTGTAATCTCAACACCCAGCTGAGGCTGGAGAATCCATGTGAGTGTGAAGCCAGCCTGGGCTACAAAGTGAACTCAAGGCCAGCCAGCCTGAACATAGTGAGACCCTGGCTCAAAAAGACAAAATAATATAATAATAATAATAATAGTAATAATAATGACAACAACAATAATAATAGATAAGCCATGTTTTGGGGAGATATATAATCATGAAACTAAATGTATAAGGTTTCTGTTACCATGGCCCAGAAATCATTGGCACTTGAGGACTTACACTGATAAATCTTCTGGTATTAATTTGTAATTTAAAAAATTTTAGATAATGGTACTTTGCATTTTTCTTTTTTAATGATTATCATATTTATTTCTTCCCTAGATCTTCCTCAGAACTGTGATCCTAACATTCCCCTAGTTGCTCAGGAATTAATGAAAAAGATGATACGTCAGTTTGCAATTGAGTACATTTCAAAAAGTGGTAAAATTCAAGAGAATAGAAATGGTTCAATTGGACCAAGTCTCATATGTAAAAGTATTCAAATGAATCAAGCAGAAAACTCCCTTCAGGAAGAGCAGGACGGCCCCTTAGACCTCACTGTGAATCGAATGCAAGAACAAAGTACTCAGCAAGGTAAGATTTATGTGTGTATGTAATATATAATTTTATGTTTTAATATACTTAACTGTATATATGTTATGTTCACAAGAAAACTTAAAGTAATAATACTTTATTTTGCTTATGTAATATGGGCTAGAGAGAAAACAAGTTTAAAATTGTTACTGCATTTTAATTGTTTCTAAAGGAAAATTTGAGTTACTGTCATTTCCTTTCATTAAATATAAGCTACAAGTAAAAGGATGTTTATAGTAGAACTATTTTTTACAGTGACAGCTGAAAACATTAAGTCCTTGTTGTACAGTGTTTTGTACTTAGATAAAAAAAAAGATTTATCTTCTAGTTATTTGTGATATAGCTGGAAAAAGAACTTAGTACATGTGATACTTATTTATACAGAAGCATTTTTTTAAAAAAGCACGAATGTTAAAGTCTGAGTTGGATTAAAATGGTAAAGGCTTTGCTGCACTTAAATAATACAGTTTAATTAAAACAGAACTATGATAACAGAAGAAAAGCAAAAAGTTTTTGAAGGCAAGAAGAACCTCTTAAGTATAGGAGTTTTTATGTTCACAAAAATGAGTAGGTAGAGATGAAAGAACAAATAAATTAAGATTGTGTCAAGTCTTTGAAGTTGTAAAAAATTAGTATTGAATTTGTTCCTAAAACCAGGGTAATGGTACATGCCTATGCACTCCAGGAGGCTGAGGCAGGCAAATTGCAAGTTTCAGCCCACGTTGGACAATTTAAAGACTAAACAAGACACGGTCTCTAAATAGAAAATAAAAAGGGGTAGGAATGTACCTTCACACAAAGGCCCTAAATTCAATCCCCAGTACCACAAATAAAAAGAAGAAGAACTGATCCTAGAAGATGGGGTCAGTTCTATTAGTATACCAGTCAGGGTTTAAAGATGTCTTCCCAGTGTGTAAGACAAATAAAAATGTAGTTTCTGACACATGGACATAATTTGCTTATATTGCTTAATTTTAGATTACATGAGTTTATGTAGAAATGTCTAACAAGTATTAAGATAATAATTAAGTGGAAAGACAGAAATTTCAGAGATAACTCTTAAAAGATTTCAGGAAAGAAAATATCAGTGTGTAGAATTTTGGATAGTGGAAGGCAGAGGACTTTTAAAACTTTTATTTGCTATCCATGCTTTTACCCACTTATGTTTCCTCCTCTTTTAGGGAGATGGTATAGAGTTCTAAAGGGACTACATGTAGAAAATACATGTACCCAATTTCTGAGAAGAATGTAAAAATTATGTACTGGAAAGATGTACTGATGGAAATAAAAGACTAGAACATAGGCTTTGGTATGTGACAGACCTGTGTGAAAATCTCAGCTGTACTGCTTAAGCTCCTCTTATGTGTAACTACTTACCAGAGCTTTAATTTTCTTATTATTTGGGCATAATAATAATGAACTCATTAGACCAACATGAGAATTAAACATAAATTAACAAACTCATTAAAGATACTAAACCACCTAATCAGTCCATTCTCCACTTCCTGTTCTTAATAACACCATAGAAGAAAAGAAAGTCTTATAAATATAGTGATAGCAAGTTGTAAATATTTATGTAGTTATTACACTAACATAGGACTGAGCATTTTCTGAATGGTCCAATGAGTAGAATTTAGTAACTAAAAGTGAGAAATTTCAGATCAATGTGAAAAGGAATATTTCCAGGACTCAAACATTTCTTAAAAGTAAAAAGGGTGAAAAATTCCATGGTTACATTATTAGAGGTACTCCAAAGCATTAGCTAAGTGCTAAGGAGAGCTGACATTTTAAAGGAAATGTCATCCTAACTTAGATTCTGTGGTTCTGTGAAATTAAGTAGTATGCTGGATCCAAGCATATAGAGAAAACAAGCAACATAAAATACTTATAGTATTATAATTTCGGCAAAGTCTATAACTGTGAACATCCTGAGATTATAAAGAGTAATGATACTAATTAAAATCTTCAGCAGCCTTCTTGATAATTTTAGTATTTGTGGTGAATTGTCATGTATGATTTCAGTGTTCTTTAGGATAAAAATCATTTAGAATGGTATGATTTTTGGTATGGAGAACAAGAAATGGTGATAGATGAAGCCAGAGAAGTAGGTGGGGACCAGATTATGAGAAAGCCATAAAATGTTAAGGATTTTTACTTTCTGAGAGATGGTGGGGATGCAAGAAGCTATTTAAATAGAGACAAGATCTGATTTTATTTCATAAAACCTTTCTGCCATGTTATAGTTTCTCAGATTAGCTTTCAGAAAAAAGGTAAGCCACATACTTTTTGATGTATTTGTGTGTACCAATAATATATTATTGTTCTACAAATTAAAATTTTAAGCAAATAAAGATACTGTAAACAGGTTTTAAATGTCTTGCTAATAATGATGACCTCACTGGCATTGTTTTATTACACAATACCATACATAGTTGGAAATTTTTCACTAGCAGTGATACAATGTATAAATCTATATCTTAAGTACATTTCTTAAGAATTAAAGATTTTTGTGGCCCAATTTTACTTTTCCTACCTTATTGTTTATAGACATCTCAGTAGTAGTAGTAGTAGTAGTAGTAGTAGTAGTAGTAGTAGTAGTAGTACTTCTGCCTTTTTGTTGTTATTTGCTAGTTCTTAGCATTTCTCATGTTATTTTTTCTCTGTAATTTTTAAACAATGCTCATTTAAGCCAGTTTTCCATTTTGTGAGTTTCTTTATTCAGATTAGATAGTAATTTAGTCCAGTGAGTAATCTAATAGTCCATTGGGTACTGTAATAAGTAAATACTGGGGCTGGGAAAAGGGAAAGATTTACTTTTTACAAATCTAGGGGCTGACAAGCCCACCAATGTGGGGTCTTACTCTACAAGGTTATTCTTGTGGTGTCAGCTCAGGCTGCAGGGGAGGTAGAGGGAAGAATTCATCTCTGTGCCAGGGACCCACTCGTGGAAGGGCGCGTGACTTCATCGCCCCTTAGCTGGAAAAGGCAGTATGTTTTGAATACATACATTTGAGGTGACACATTCAACCATGAATAATGAGTACCCTTAAGTATACTTGTAAATCTCTAAAATCCAATTCCAAATAATTTTAATTTAATGCAGCTTTAAGCAACAGACAATTTCTATCTCATATAAACTATTTTAGAGAATTGAAAATACAGCAACGTAAGTATGATCTTGATACCAAAAATAGACAGTAATAGCAAAAGAAAATTATAATGTATAAATCTTAGTTCAGAATCCTAGGTAAATATCAGCAGGCTGAATATGTTGAAATATAAAGACATGATAATTATGAATAGAGGAACATAGATGATTAAGCTTTTGAAAAACTTTCATGATTTTCCAAATTATAGAATCTTTAATAGATACAGAAAAAAATAATTATATAAAAGCTAGCACATTTATTAAGATTTTTAAAAAACTTTTAACAAAGAATAGATGGGTACTTCTACTACCAAAACATCATAACTTGATTTAGTAAAGAATAAGACAAAAAATATACACAATCACCAGTTTTAAACATGTCCTGAGGCTCATGATTCCTCAATTAAACTTCAGCTTTTATTATATATATATTTGGTACAGGGTCTTACTACACAGCTCAAACTCTAGTGATCCTCCTGTTGTCAGCCTCCCCAGCACTGGGATTAATAATATGTGCTATCACACCCAGCCTCATTGGCTGGCTCAGTGCTCCCACAGAGGTGGGGCCGGCGTGGCCCATGGTGCCAGGAATCAAACCCTAGCCCCTGTCCTTGCCTAAGCAAGTGCTTAGTCTGCTGAAGTATGTTGCTGGCCCTACCATATTCAGCTTTTAAAAACAATAGCAGCATCAGGGAAAAAAGTCTTAAGAATTAAATGAATAAACTGTATAAAGGCTTATGGAGAAAACTGTGTGATTTTATTGAAGGACATAAAGGAAGATTTCCCAAATAAATGTTTATAACTTAAGTAAATGGAAGACTGACATGGCTATTTACCAAATGTGTTTGCAGTGTCATTGTTCATATTCTAATAGTTTCTTGTTAAATATGACTTGTTGAACTTAAACTTTATAAAGAAAACTTAAAGAACCCATAATAACCAAAGGACTGAAGGACTTACTTTAAAACCTGTCAAGACTTATGAAGTGTGATTACTACAATAGGGTGCTACTAGTGTCAGTTATAGATCATAGAACAGATTTTCAAACCCAGAATTTTCCCCAGACATCACTGGTATAAGAAGCCATTATAAAATCACAGAGAAGGATATACTTGCTATTCAGTAAACAATTGTGGAGCATTTGGTTACTTCCATCTCAGAGTGGAGGATCCATAGGTATGGAACCATATTATAAGAAAAGCAATTCTGGTTAAGGGACAATAGAGTTCCCAAATTCTCCTTTGTGTTGAAGGGTAATATAATTCCTCAAACTAAGGACAAAGGTCTTACACTGGTTGTGGAAATTTTTCAGCTATTATCATTTCAAATATACCTCTCCCTTATCTCTTATCAAAATTCATTGAATCAAATATTGGATCTTCTTATCCTGTCTTCCAATTCTTGTAAATTTCTGTATTTCTGAGCTCATTGTCGTATTGTAATACATGCTGCATAATTTGTTTCAAAATATTTTCCAATTCACTAATTTTCTCAAGCTATTTTAATCAGTGCTTAACCTCATTCTTGAACCCCTACTTCACTGATTTATTGTATTTTTTATTTCCAAATTTTTTAAGTGCACCTATCAGGCTGCCTATAATTTTATAACAGGATCAACAAGAAGGATATCAAGAATAAATGAGAAGTATTTGAGGTAAAGTGGTCAGGAAAGATCTGCTTAAGTGAATTTGAGCTGGAGCTGATCACTCCTTATTCAATGGGGGGAGGGGCAGAGCATTTTAGGTAAAAGACGCTTCAACTCAAAAGCAGAATATCAGATTCAGAAGACTGTACTGAATCCGGTCTGTTTGAGGAACGAATGAAGGTTGTGTTGGTCACTTAAAAATGAAGA